GGCTCGAGTCTGCGCCTGTGCCACTTGTGCCTAATGCCAGGGGCGGGCAAGTCCTATACAACGGCATATGGCTGCACCTTGGCATCTGTTGGAACGCCATTCGAGCGATGAAGCGCAGCACCAAGGGGTCTCTCCAGCTACAGCAGCAGGACGACAAAGACATGATCAACGACGCAGAAAAATGGAGAGACAACGTCAAGCCTCTCACGCACGCACGTACCAAGACAGCGCGGGCAGGGCGCAAGCGCGGGCGCCCGTCCGCAAGCACGCAGACATCACGGAGACCATGCGCGTCGACTGCGAGAAGAAGTGCGATGATACATTGATCCAGACTGGCGTCCGCTACAAGAGCTACAGGAAGTGGCGGGGCGACATGGGGTTAGACACGGCCAGCGAGGAGCTCGACGAGCAGCACAAGGCCGAGCGAGGCACGAACGACGCCAAGGACCAGAACGGACTCACCGTTCAGAGGGTCGTTTGCGAGGGCAACCCAATGGTCAGGAAGTCCAGCGGGACCACGGTCAAACGTGGCTGCCGCGCCGACGTGGGCGACGACGACGCCGACGCCGACCGCCGACGACAGCGCTCTAGGATCAGTCTCAGCTCCGGCGCCGACAGCTATGCCAGCTGCTCAATGCATCACTTCGCCCCACCACGCAGCAACGTGCCCCCCTCGCCTGCTGGCACTGCTGGCGCCGAAGAATGCTGCGCCTCTGGGGCAGCGGCTGCGCCCGCCGAGCCTGCGGCGAAGGTCGCGTCGCCCCCCGGGCGACTGGCGCCGAGTCCGCCTTCCGGGAAGTCCAAGAAGGCGGAGAAGGCTCCGCCGCCATCCACGCCGAGCTTGGACTTCATCAACAAGAAGGGGCAGCTGCAGACAGACGTGGAGAAGTTCTTCGAGAAGGTCGTCGGCGCCAAGGGCGTCTCGACCACATTGCAGCAGTGCCGGGCGGACATCAGCAAGGCAGTCAGAGGCGACGTCTTGGGGGCGCGCAACGTGCCTCACCCACCCTGGCCTCGTTTACTGTTTGTTTGTTCTTATTGATTCGGTGACGCCGACCCGGACTAATCAAGGATCGCATGATGGTTAAAAGAGATGGGTTCGAGATTACAACAATGTTTAATGCAGCGGGGCTGCGGCTCCAACCTATATCTACACACATTAACTTAAGATGTTCGCAGCTGGGCGCGCACCCCGCGGCGTCGCCCTCGAAGGCGAACTGCAATCAGACGAGCTTCCAGAGGGCCACGAGAGTCTCGAGAGGGACATCGAGGCGCTGAAGGTTGAGATCAAATCCTCGATGGACAAGAGAAGGAGCGCTCGCCGAGCTGAGCTGGAGTCGCTGGAGGGCCCGAAGGCTGCGTTGGCCGACGGGCTCAGTAAGGTCGAGGCTACCCTCGCTGAGGTGGCATCAGTCACGACGCAGAAGAGGGGCCGGGCCGTCGCGAGCAAGCGCGGCCTACGTGAGCAAGCGGTCGCAGATCATGCAGATCGTGGCCAAGCTCATGAATGGTCTGTATCAAGAGAAGCACGCGAAGTTCTTGGGCGGTGAGATGTGCGACGTCGTCTTCGAGACCATCGCGGGGCCAGCTCAAGGGGGCGAGTCGCAGGCCCGCGACGGCAAGGGCGAGAAAGACGAGACAGTTCTCAAGGCGAAGATCTTCGCGCCGACGACCGCTGGCTTCTCTGACATCCCTGGCCCCGAGAAGTTCGACTACTCGCGCGTCGCGCACTGATCGGGCGAGGGCGATTCGCCGTTCGAGGACCTCTTCGTGCAGGACCAGACCGCCATCAACAACAAGGTGGAGCAGTTCGAGAGCACCATGGCGGCGCGCTGCAGGTGGGCGGGGGCGTGTGGTTCGCTCGGTAACCAGTTCGACTTCAAGGAAGGGGCCTCGGTGCGCGGCACCGTTGCGGAGGAAGCGGGCATTGGCTGGCGCGAAGCCTCGGATCGTGACCGTTCGTGAAGGCCACCGCCGCAATGCACCAGGGTCCGTGCCCTTGGCAGGGCTCGCGTGCGTCGTCAAGCCGATCGACGGGCAGCGGATCTTCGTCAACGGGGTCTTCATGGAGCCGCTCTTGCAACGCGGCATCGCGCTTGCGGGTTTCGGCTCGTTCTCGAACGCCTCGGCGGGCGCCGACTTCTTGAAGAAGCAGTCTTTCCTGGCGTCGGTTGCGCCCAGCGAGGCGATCTACCTGCCGCCAGGTTGCCTGTACTATGTCTTCGTGCTGACGGCCAACAACAAGAAGACTCATAACGAGAAAGAAGCGCACACTTGCTCCATGTGCCTGTGTGGGCGGCGAGCTGGCACGCGCTCTCGGAGAATATGAAGAACGCGATCGTATCGTTGAACGGCTCGACCTTTCAGGCAAAGGGGGGCAAGCAGATGTGGGAGGACCGCCTCTAGCGGTTCAACAAGGCCCTCGGGTGCGATGCGGGGGCGCTGCCGCCAGCCGCCGAGTAGACGAGTTGCCAAGCGTCCATGAGGACACGAGTGCGCTGTTAAGCCGTGGTTGTGAGACATTGTGACGGAAACTACGTTTGGGCCCACCAGTCAGGTGGGCGAGAGGGAGCCGTGATACGGAAAACATAGAATGTCGGACGCAATCCGAACATGTTCTCAACTTGACTTTAGCGGTCCCGAGGACCCGAAGTCCAGTGCCACGCATATCATACACATTCGTACTTGCGTACATATATACAGGCGTAAAGTCCCACATACACACATACATACATACGTACATACATACATGCACACACGCATACTTGCATGCATGCATACAGACCTACGTAAGTACGTATGCACGTACCTATGTACATGCATTATATATATATATATGTATATATATATATGTATACAAGATTGCAGTGGCGCTTCGCGCCATGCACCTTGGTCTTTGGAGTTTGGTATGCAGGCGGAATAGCAGGAAGGTCAAGCCGACAATTCAGATATAATTCCTTGTTGCCTTTACCGGCATCGCCGCTATAATAATGTTATTCGTTATCCTGCCTCCATGCTTATGTTTTGCTATGTTCGCCGTGCCCTGCGCATTCTCCCCATCCTCCTCAGCGCTTTTTTGCGGAGGCTCCTCCTTGGAGAGCCTCTTGGGGCCTCACAAAAGTTGTTCCAAACTTTTTTAAGGCCTTTTGGAGGCCTCCTGGGCGTATTCTGGGGGCATCTGGGGACTTCCTCGGGCCACCCTGCCTCCAACCGCGGTCTCCCTGAACGACCGGGTCACGATTGCTTCGGAGGGTGTCTTGGGGCCATCTTGGGCCGCCATGGGGCTCTCTGAGGGCCATCTTGGACTCGTGTTGTGTCGTCTTGGGGCTGTCTTGGACTGCCTGGAAGCCTTTTCGGATGGTTGTGGGGCGATGTTGGAGCCTCCCAGGCGGCTTCGGACGCCCAGAAGACCGCCGTCTTGGAGCGTCGGGAAGCCGAAAGAGGAGAACCCCAAAATTCAGCAAAAACTAACAGAAATCAAAGATTTGTGCCTCTTGGGGCATTCTTGGGAGTGCTCTTGGAGGCCTCTTTGGAGCCGTCCTGGAGGCCTTTTGGGCCATCTTGAGGTCACGTCGGTCACTCTTGGAGCGCTCTTGTGCTGTCTTGGAGGTCTCTGGGACGTCTCCGATGACCCCCCTGATCGCCCTAGGTGTGCTGGGAAGGCTTGGCAGAACGCGCTGCGAGGCCCGGTGGGCCGCTTCGAGGCCCGTCCGGAGGGTCCCAAAGCCCCAGATCCCAGGAGTTCGTTTTTTTTTTTGGGGGGGAGGACGGGTTTTCTCCCGTCCCAGGCTTGACAAACATATAGGAAGAGGAATACATATGCATACATACGATATGCACATGCGCACAAACATTTATATTTACTTACTGGCCTAACTACATGCCGACTTACAAACATACATACATGTATACATACGTACGTAAACACATACCTGTATACAAGCATATCTATACACACACGTGCGTACAGACGTACCTTCACATACACCTATCTACATAATTACATACCAGCAGACGTGCGCGCAGCACGTGTATACACAAACATATATACATATGTACATATGTACATACATACATGCATATATACATACATACATACATCCATACATACATGCATACATACATACATACATGCATACATACATACATACATACATGCATACACACACATACATACATACATGCATACACACCTGCGTACGTGTGTACGTACGCACGTACATACATGCATACATACGTACACATGAGAAGCGGATCCACTGAAAGGCATCTTCGGTCGGTCACGTGAGCCATGTCGGGAACCGCCTTGGGTATCGTGGAATTGGCGAGTGGCCCCGTGCAGGGGCTTCTTGGGAGCATCTTGGGCCATCTCGGGTCAGTCGTGATGGGCGTGCGTAAAATCTTGCAGGCCATCGTGGGTGCCATCCTGGGCGCGTCTTGGGATAGTTTTCGTACTTTGGTTGTAGCGTCCTCGAGACCTTGGCGCTTCTTCCGCCAACTCCTCTTCCACTTGTTCCTCCTCCTCCTCCTCGTCCCCCCCCCCCCCGCTGCCCTCCCTCCCATGCCCTCCTCCCCTGCAGTAATGTATGCATGTATGTACGTACGCGCGTACAAAAGTACGCATGCATGTTGTATGTATGCATGTGCGTATGAACGTGCTGCGTGCATGTATGTATGTATAGATCGGATATATCAATCGACGTATGTGTGTACGTACATATGTATGTAGATATGTATGTATGCAGGTATGTGCTTGCGCACGTATGTATACATGTATGTATATATGTAGACAGGCATGTATGTATGTAACTATACACGTATGTTTGTGTGTATGTGTATACTTCATGCTGTTATATAACTAGAAAGGTATGTGTGTATGTATGAATATATATAGAGCATATATATATATGCGTGCCCCCCCCTCTGAGATCTACCTTGAAGCCCTTTCCAAAGCAAAGAAGTACGAGGACACCATCGCTGTCCAAGTTTGCAGTAACAATTTACCTCCGCCAAAAGTTGGCACAGAACGTGGATCCCATCTCGGCCCAAAGGTCTTTGCCCCTGTGCCAGTAAAGCCACTGGGCGCTGCGAATTGCAGTGGCGGCCGTCTCAGAATTGGGCACCATTGTCTGGCCACCCAAGGTTGAGCGGATGTATTTCCAAACGCTGTCGATAACCTGGGAGCCGGCCTTGGTGCGCAACTTCCTACCACATGGAAGCTTATGAGTTGCCAAGCGCGCGTAGCACGGCTTCACCCACACCCACTTGCCATTCTTTTTCACTCTCTTTTTGCAGTGCCGCACTGAATCGTGCAACACTCCCTCAACTCGCATGGCGTAGCTCTTAGCGCGGCCCGTATGCAAAATAATGCGCCTACCTTTCAAGTAGCGGTTTGCCAGAGGCGCCCAATCGACCTTCCTGATTGCGCCTGGCCCAGGAGCCCTCTTCACCGTGGGAGCCGCGGTAGTCTTCGCCAGCACCAGCGACTCGGGCAGCCGACCAGCGCAGTCTTCGCCGGATGTTTGTCTTTTCCGAAGCACGAAGAAGACTTAAAGTACCGCGCATCAGGTTTGCAACAAACCTGTGGCGCAATTCTTTTCCATTTCAGAATGCGTCTCGCCGTCCTGGCCAGCAGCCACGCGGTTGCTCTGTCGGGCGCTGAGCTTGCGCCACGCCGTGTCAGGCGGCAAGGCAGCGCCAGGGCCGACGTCAGTGACGAACGCCCACTCGAGCGCCATTGTGGTTCGCAAGAGCAGGGATATGAAGGGGCGCAAATTGCCACAATGAAAACCCGATCAAACGGGGTGCTTGAGCCGATAAACGACGTGCGAAACAGTGGTTGCGAATATCGATGTTATTGGCATCCGCTGTGCTTCATCAATCACATAGGACCACTCCCTCCCGCCACCCCGAGAGTGCGAAGCACCACCGAATCCTCCAAACGCGAGCTCCTCAAAAACGGTGGCATCCAATATTGGAGTGCTTTCTTCTTTACCCCAATCATGTTGACATCTCTAACCTCATAGCTGCCATATTCGGAAATATGAACGGGGGCCGACCAAAAATATTTTCTCCCCGAAAGTGAAAGACGACGCGGGCTCCTCCCAAACGGGGGCATCCAATATTGGATGCCCCTCTTCATTACGAGTGTGTGCACAATATAGTCATGCTCAGAGATGTTTTTACCCCCGCTGCGTTTTCCAGGTTTGAAGTATACATCGTTGTGCTGAACTTCAGGAGAAGGGCAATCCAAAGTACATGTCATCTCATGATAAAGCGAATCGAAACACATTCGGCCCCAAGTTCATGACATCGCACTTCCGCCTTGCTTGTCGTTTTTTAGGCTTGCACATGCAAGGCCGGTGGCCGAATTCGCCGTTTGCAGAGGCAGCAGGCTACTGGGCGCCAAAGCACCCGTCCCGGTCGCTCGCCCTGGGGCCTCTCGGCCGCCTCACGAGCTCGTAGTAGTTCGCCTGCTGCGCCTTGGAAGCGTTCTGGAGGAAGCGGTTCTTCTCCGTGGAGAGGCCGCGGCACTTCGCCTGATGGAGTTTGGGGAGAGAGGTTTGGTCGCCCCTTGGCGCTCGCCTAGGCGGGCGCCAAGTTTGGTTTGTTTGCTCCGGGGGGGGGGGGTAGGTTTTTTCGCCCTCGAAAGGCCTGCGCCTTCTTGAGGCTAGCCCGCAAGCTCTCGTTCTCCGGCTCCGCCTCGTCCCAAGCGGCCGCCTCGCCCTCCCGTCGGGCTGTGCGTGCTTTCTGCTTCCAGTCGTCTCGCTCCTCCTGAGTCTCCCGCAGCTGCTTGCGCAAGCCCTCGTTCTTGTCCTTCGCGGTGCCCAGGTTTTTGCGGGCGTTCTCGGCCGCGCGCTGTGGGGAAACAGAAAGTTTCTGTGTTGGTCGTTGAACTGTGGTTGTTGTTTCTTTCGCTGGTGTTGTTATGTTGCGTAGCTGCGTGGGGGGGTTGCGGTGCTGCCACGTTGGTGGTTGCTGAAGCTTTTCGTTTCCATGGTATCGAATGCTGCTTGCTTGCGCTATGTGCTCCGGTGCTTTGTGTGTTGCTTGTACGGAGAGGTGCATGCTTAGTGTCCCAACAACCGTGTGGACGAACACATCACGGCGCAAGTGGAAGTTCTCCTTCTTTTTCTCCTTCACTTCCTTGTGGAGCTCCGTCTGCCTCTTCCTCAAGGCTCCCACGGTGTCGTGGTATTTTTTCAAGTGCACTTTGGCCGCCTTCTGGAGGTACTGCTTGACCCACGGTTTCTTGAGCCAGTTTTGGATAGAGGCTGCCCGTTTGCGATCCCTGCAGTTGTCAGTCTTGGTCTTCACGGCTTTCTTCGTGGACGCAGGCATTCGCGCAGCGCGAGGCCGACAAGGTGAAGCAAACAAATTAAGAAGGTCGCAGACCCGAAGCCGGTACGGCTAAGAATGATGAGGGGGAGAGGGAGGGATAATGAAAAAACAACGTCAGGAACACAAGAATATGAACAGAGAGATTGCGATCATATTCTCTCTAACTACGCCTCCTCCTCCGCCTACTCATCATCATCATCAATACCATCATCATGATCATCATTATCATCATCAGCCTCATCATCGTCATCGTCATCATCATCATCATCGTCGTCGTCATCGTTCTTATCGTCATCATCTTCATCACCATAGTCATCGTCACCGTCACCATCATCATCATCACCATCATCGTCAACGCCATCATCATCGTCATCGTCATCATCATCATCATCATCGTCGTCGTCGTCGTTCTTATCATCATCATCTTCATCACCATAGTCATCGTCACCGTCACCATCATCATCATCACCATCATCGTCAACACCATCATCATCGTCGTCGTCAGCGTCATCGTCATCATCATCATCATCGTCATCGTTCCTCCGCGTCGTCGTCATCCCGCTCTTCCTTCCAATCCCTTGCTGTGTACACTCGTTCTCCTTGAATTCCACACGGCTCCAGAGCATACCAGATCAATAGTTCGACATCGAGCCTTCAATATCCAACGATCAACACCACCTCCAGACCGGCCATCAGTCCCAGGCAGACTGCTGACGGCTCCGCCCCCCCCCCGCGCCGCCCTCCTCCTCCTCATCGTCATCATCGTCGTCCTCCTCCTGCTCCTCATCGTCATCATCGTCGTCGTCCTCCTCCTCCTCCTCATCGTCATCATCGTCGTCCTCCTCCTCCTCCTCATTGCGCCTGGAGCGGGAGGGCGGGAGAGCGGGAGAGCGGGAGAGCGGGAGAACGGGAGGGCGGGAGAGCGGGAGAGCGGGAGAGCGGGAGAGCGGGAGGGCGGGAGAGCGGGAGAGCGGGAGAGCGGGAGAGCGGGAGAGCGGGAGAGCAGGAGAGCGGGAGAGCGGGAGAGCGGGAGAGCGGGAGAGCGGGAGAGCGGGAGAGCGGGAGGGCGGGAGGGCGGGAGGGCGGGAGAGCGGGAGAGCGGGAGAGGAGAGCGGAGAGCGGGAGAGCGGGACAGCGGGACAGCGGGAGAGCGGGAGAGCGGGAGGGCGGGAGTGCGGGAGAGCGGGGAGCGGGAGAGCGGACAGCGGGACAGCGGGACAGCGGAGAGCGGGAGAGCAGGGGTGCCGGGGGGGCGGCCGGGCGGCCGGGGCGGGCCGCTCTCCCGCTCTCCCGCTCTCCCGCTCTCCCGCGCTCTCCCGCTCTCCCGCTCTCCCGCTCTCCCGCTCTCCCGCTCCCGCTCCGCTCCCCGCTCTCCCGCTCTCCCGCTCTCCCGCTCTCCCGCTCTCCCGCTCTCCCGCTCTCCCGCTCTCCCGCTCTCCCGCTCTCCCGCTCTCCCGCTCTCCCGCTCTCCCGCTCTCCCGCTCTCCCGCTCTCCCTCTCCCGCTCTCCCGCTCTCCCGCTCTCCCGCTCTCCCGCTCTCCCGCTCTCCCGCTCTCCCGCTCTCCCGCTCTCCCGGCTCCCGCTCGCCCGCTCTCCCGCTCTCCCGCTCTCCCGCCTTCCCACTCCTCCCGAATTTCCACTTCTCCCGCCATCTCGCTCTCCCATCAGCGGCTGGAGAGCACGTTATCGAAAAAAGGTGGTTGAGGTAGATCTCAGAGGGGGGGGGCTCCCATATATATATATATATATATATATATATATATATATATATATATATGTATGTATAGGTGTGTAGGTAACTTGTCATCCTCGGTGTCCGAAGTTGATTCCGAGGCTGAAGAATGATGTGACGCTTTTCTTTAGAGACGGCCCGAGTTGAGCCCTGTCTCTTGATTCGCGGGGCGAGTCGTGCGCCTTACGTTTTTTTTTTTTTTTTTTTTTTTTTTTTTTTTTTTTTTTTTTTTTTTTTTTTTTTTTTTTTTTTTTTTTTTTTTTTTTTTTTCGGGTCTTCCCGCGGAACCGATGCCATGACAATGCGAGCGGTTGCACTAGGGCCTTCGGTGGAGCTCCCTATGGGGCCACGAAGCGTGTGAGGGCTGTGACGAAATGGGCGTGGCTGTCGCATGCGGGCGGTGGCACCGTGGCCTTCGGTGGAGCTCCCCATGGGGCCACGAAACGTGTGAGAGGTTTGACGAAATGGGTGCGGGTGACACATGCGGGCCGTGGCACTGAGGCCTTCAGTGGAGCTCCTTATGTGGCCACGGAACGCGTGAGGGGTGTGCCAGAATGGGCGTGGCGCATGCGGGCGGTGGCACCAGGGCCTTCGTTGGAGCTCCCAATCGGGCCCCGAAATGTGTGAGGGGTGTGACGACATGGGTGTGGGTGACGCATGCGGGCGGTGGCACCGGGGCCTTCGGTGGAGCTCCCCATGGGGCCACGAAGCGTGTGAGTGGTTTGCTGAATTTTGTGTGGGTGACGCATGCGGGCCGTGGCACTGGGGCCTTCGGTGGATTTCCTTATGGGGCCACGAAACGTGTGAGGATGTGCCGAAGTGGGTGTTGGTGACGCATGCGGGCGGTGGCACTGGGGCCTTCGGTGGAGTTCCCTACGGGGCCACGAAGCGTGTGAGTGGTGTGCCGAAATTTGTGTGGGTGACGCATGCGGGCCGTGGCACTGGGGGCCTTCGGTGGAGCCCCCGATGGGGCCACGAAACGTGTGGGGGTGTGCCGAAATGGGTGTGGTTGACGCATGCGGGCGATGGCACTGGGGCCTTCGGTGGAGTTCCCTATGGGGCCACGAAACGTGTGAGGAGTGTGCCGACATGGGTGTTGATGACGTATACGGGCGGTGGCACTGGGGCCTTCACTCGAGGTTCCTATGGGGCCACGACGCGTAAGAGGGGTGTGCCGAAATTAGTGTGGGTGACGCATGCGGGCGATGGTACTGGGGCCTTCGGTGGAGCCCCCTTGTTGGGGGCACGAAACGTTGTACTGGGTGGGTGAATCGCATGGAGGAGGGAGGAGGGGGAGGAGGGAGGAGGAGGAAGGAGACGCGGGGACCGCCTCTTCAAAACGAGGACCCAACACCACAGGATAGTTGGAACTAGTGAACATTATCTTGGCGAAGAACCCAACCACATGCAGTTGTGAGTACCGTCATTGCGGGTATCGCCTTCGGGGGATCTCCTCACGGCGCCATGAAGCATGCGAAGGGGGGGGGTGGCCGCCATTGGGGCCTTCGGTTGAGCTCCCTATGCGAGTACAGCCACCGAGGCCTGGCCTTCGGTGCAGCTCCCCATGAGGCCACGAAGCGCTGTGCTGGGGGGGAACGCATGCGAACACCGCCACTGGGGCCATCGTTGGATCTCCTATGGTGCCACGACACGCTGCACTGGGCC